TTAAAAGTTGTCGGGTTTTGAAAAGTCACGTGGCGGGCAAGTGCTTAAATTGTAGCGCGGTGTTTCCCGAGCAGGGATGCACAGCCAGCCAATAGTTTGTTAGCTGTGTGCCTGCGGGTGTTGGTGGTCCCACTCCACCAAGGATGTGGAGGAATAAACTCGGTCTGCCTGTGGCACAAGTTTCCAGTCCTGACAGAATTTGGGGCTAGTGGAAGAGGGGGTCACTGGAGTTCCTGGGGGGGGGAGGTTGGTGAGGTGCAGCTCTTCTGAGGAGTAGCTGCTCCTTCTCTGAAGCATGGGAGAGCACTTTATCACTGCTTGTTGCCCTGAAAAAAGAGGTGACATCTCGTCAGGCTGGTTTGTATTGCCTGGTTGATGATGAAACTTTTTTTTTTTAATATTTTAATTTTAGAGTAATTCATCTTTGGAGAGCAACTTGGAGGGCCTAGCTGGTGTTTTGGAAGCTGATCTGCCGAATTACAAAAGCAAGATACTAAGAATACTGTGCACTGTGTACGTATGGGGGAGGTCTGGGAACATGGGAAGTGTTTTCTTTGTGCATAAGTTTAAGTATTTAGGGTAGTTTGAATGCCAAGAGTGGCTTTACTTCCTTGCTGCTGTCACAGCATGGAGTTTGTCTTACTACAAATGAAAGAAATAGAGGAATAAGCTAGTTACGTAGTAGGCGTAATTCAAGTAAAATATGACTTTACATTACTCTGACTTGAAATGTGTACAAGGCTCAAAGCAGATAGAAGAAACTTCAGAGCTGCTCTTCAGTAGCTGTGGGAGCACAGCAATGCTGGGCAGTTTCCTGTATCCAGATGAAGTGCTTATGACCACCAAAGCTGTTGACTGCCAACACTTATTTAGTCTTACTATCTGTGATGTTTTCTCACTGCTTTCTCCTCTTCTCTGGCAATGATTCACTCATGTCTTTGTAAGGCCAAACATGAGGAGCAGAAAGTAGCCTCTCTGCTGCCTGACAGCTCTCCTTACTCTCCCTTGCAAAGTGCAGGAGCAGAGGTGGCTATGTCAGGGTTACTGAGTGGTGTCTGAGGGCAGGGTTGTGCAGTGTCTAAGGTAGGAGGTAAGACAAGTACAAAAGAAGGGTGTAGGGGAGACTGTAGCCTACACTAAAGTCTCTGGTTTTGCAGGGATTTAAAATCTATTTTTGTAGCAATATTTGTTAATAAAAGGCAAATAGGGCCTTTTTTTTTCTTTAACCTGTAGCAATAAGACACTTCTGAAAGTACAGGGTTAGCTTTCATGCATACGAAAATGGCTGAGGAAAATTAATTCTTTATGGTAGGGCCTGGCTTTCCCTGTGCTGTATAATAAAATTCTTTCTAAATTGTGAACTTAAAACAACTTCTTACGTCCTTGCATAAACTCCATCACATATATTATTTGGCCAACCCTCTGGAATACTCGGCAATTAGATAAAAATAAAAAGCAAATACCATAAATGTACTTGAAAATGGCACGTGCCTTTTTAAGGGGCTGCGGTTAAAACAAAAAAGATGATCTGTAAGATACTAACTGTGGGATAAAACTGTAAGATCGTGCTAGCAGTCTTTTCTTAATTCCTCATGAAATAAGAGAAGGAGGTTCTAAGATGCAATGCAGTCGGCACGTGATGAATAAACAACTAACACAGTGTTTCTTTTTCTGTGTCAGTGCACGTCTGTTACCAGAAAAGCTTACTGTTTACACCACACTGGTTGGCTTGCTGAATGCCAGGAACTACAATTTTGGTGGAGAATTTGTGGAAGCCATGATTCGTCAGCTTAAAGAATGTCTGAAAGTAAATATGTATAACGAAGCCGTGCATTTGGTAAGTGGAGTTTTGTCTGTTTGTTTTACATTTCTCCTCATCCTTTTCCTCTCCTCCTTTACCTTTTCGTCCCAGAAGAGCTGGGCCTTGCAGTGTATGTTACAGTCTCTTTTGCCATCAACGTGCAGTGCACTGTAAATACTCCCAAGAGGAAGTTTGTGTTAATTTAGAAGTATTTCCTTCCTCAAGGGAGAGCAAATCATATTACAGTTGCAAAATTTACTTCCAACTGTATATTTTTCCGGTGAAAAATTAAATTTGTGGTAAAGAGGTGCTTCTCTCCACCTGTTCTTCAGTCAAATGTAAAAGATGAATGAAAGTCATTGTGCTTCTGTTGTGTTCAGAGGTATACAATGGTCTTGTGGCTCTCTTAGAAAAAAACTGAAAAGAAAATGAACAATTTGGTTCTTAAAAGCTGTTTTTGATGGCTGTTTTCATTCTGCTTATGAGAGATGAAGATCAAACAAGCAGTTTTAAGTGCTACCTGTCTTTGAAACCATTGGCTCCATTCTTGCTGCTTACAGATTTTGTCTGCTGAAAGATATTAGAACTTCAGCAGCATTTGATTTAGAAGCCCACTGGTGGGCAAGTTCCCAGCTTCTTCTGAACCTCACTGGTGAAAATAAAGATTCCAGTCAAGAGGCTGCTGTTCAACTGTGGGACACTTTTCTAATAAGACCTAATTGGTGGAATTTCTGTTATTTTAGTGATCTGATACGGTATAGAGTAGATAGAAGTGCAAGAGTTTTCTTCTGTAATATCAGGTTGCATGTCTTAGAATGCATACTGGTGTTCCCCATCACTCCTTAGTCAGGAATATTACCCTTGTAGTATTGTGGCAGTGGAGCAGATTACAGACATTATAGTGAGCAATATATTAGTCAGCACTTATGATACTTGTTTTCTAGCTTTGAAAGGTGGGTCTGTACAGTGTGCAGTGTTTCGGTCTTGGCGGTACTCAGTGGGTATTATACTCTTATTGGTGGGCTTTTTTAATCATTTCAGTAAAGTTCATTTGTTCTTGTGCAGCCAGTTTAAAAAGTATTCATTTAAAACTATTTTTTTCTCTTTTTTTAGGTTCGTTTTTTGTCTGATCTTGTGAATTGTCACGTAATAGCTGCACCTTCCATGGTAGCTATGTTCGAGAACTTTGTGAGTGTGACACAGGAGGAGGATGTACCCCAGGTAAGCAAAAGATCTGTGGGCTCTCTAGGGCTGTTTTCACAGTTCATCTGTATCGTGTCTCCTGTACTAATGCTTAGAACAGGAAGTTTTTAGAGACAGCAAACTGAATTCCTGAGCATTAGTAAAAGGAGCCCATGGCAATTGGGAAATACATCATACAGTAAGAAAGTATGGTCCTTTCCAGTGAAGTGGCTGAAGTGAATTTATTTTACCTTACTTTGGCAGTTGGCTTTTCTGCTGTACTGATAATCTGCAGAAGGACTTTGAAAGTGATGCCGTTTCTCAGGTCTGCTTGTCACAGCTCAAGCGAAAAATTAGACAGTTTCAATCTGCAGCTGCTGGTCTTTACGTCCCCCCGAAACAACGTGCCGATGTTTCAGATTTAAATGTATGCGCGTACAAAATCTGTTGGAGCTCACTTGTGTACTTAGATTTTGGTAATTTACCTTCCTGTAGGTGCGATGTGACTGGTATATGTTTGCATTTCTGTCATCCTTGCCTTGGGTTGGAAAGGAGTTATATGAGAAAAAGGACGCTGAAATGGATCGTCTCTTGTCTCAGACAGAAAGTTATTTGAAGTAAGTTGTAACCCATTAGAAACGCTCTTACTGGTATCTGTTTAAATATTTAGGTAAGTAAGAATTAATAGCTTTGATTATTGCTCACTTAAAAGTATTCTAAAGCCTTAGGTTTGAACTGTCTGGGAGGGAGGGGAAGCCCTGAAAATACGTGAGGTGGAGAGATTTTTGAATTTGAAAAGTTTTATTGTCGTGTCTAATTCTAGAGTATGTTATAGGTCTTGTTCTGCTCGTGCTGGAGCAGCTGGAGTTGCAGGTGTGGTGTGAACACTGATCAATTGCTGCATTAGTGCTAACCAATGT